GGCTTTCCGGCTCTCAACCCTTCCCACCTGGGGCAGGGGAGAGGAGGGTCCCTAACCTTCAGGGACTTCAGATCGGCTGGGTTCCTCTAGCATGCTACATCCTGGCGCTCCCTTTTTTGCGTCTTTCAGAGATGAAGTTTGCCAGCACATGCACAGGGTCCAAATTATCCAAGGGTGGGGAAGGGAAAAAGGGGTAGAAAAAGTGCAGAAGGAAAAGAGAGAAGGGCAACCAAGGCAGGTTAGACACGCCATGCTCCTTCCCCACCCTGGGCAGGCGGGGTGCAAACCGAAGTGACCAGATCCACTTTCCAGAGAGTATATTTTGCTTTATGAATACCTTGGGTCATCCCTTCCCTTGCCTAATTCCTTTTCACCTGGCTTCTCATGTCCTTTCCCTGCCTCCAAGCCTCCCTTTTTCTGCTGGGAAAGTGTGATGGTGGATGTATGCATGCGTGAACAAAACACACAAGAGCTGGAGAGGGTGGCAGCATGTTTGCAAGTGTGCAGAAATCCCCCTTTCGCTAGCCCTGAGCTCTGCTGAAAGGGCTGCGGGCAGCAGCCTGTGGTCAAGAAAAGCTTCAGTTTGCTCCAGACCTGGGCAACACATCGCTCTGTAGCTTCAGGTCTTGTCCTAGCAGCTGCTGTCCTCAGCAAAGCCACGCAGCTCCTAACCCACGTCCTTCAGGGCTCCCTGTGCCCATACAGTCGGGAGCTGACTGCCGGCCACCACCCCAGGGGGAGCGAGGGGCTAGAACTCAAGAGATCCCTTTTGAAGGCACCTGGTTTTGCCTTGCACAAGCCATCCTCAGGATAGCTGGAGCAGATGCAGAGCTGCTCCGGCAGAATGTGTCCTTGCTGCCCACTTGCTTCCCACCTCCATGGGCTTCAGCCCCATTTCTGCACCAGCCAGGACAGGGATGGTTCCAAGCCCAAGGGATGAGGTTGGGTCAGTGAGCTCCTGGAGACATCCCACCCTCCCAACTGTGCTACAGGGTTGCTCCTCACCCTCATCTTCTCCACCCCTCCCATTTTTCCACGCTATTGCTGATCCTGCCCCTCTTCCACCCTGGGCTTGTGAGTGACCATGCCTGTGTCACATCCATGGGCACTGGAGCCCAGCCGGGGTTGTGAGTGACCACGCCCGTGTCACATCCATGGGCACTGGAGCCCAGCCAGCATGGCCAGGACTCTTCTGAGCACACCAGGCTCTCCAGGAGCGAGCTAAACACATGGTGGATACCCCCAGCACCTCCCCAGGTCCCCACAGCCCCACCTCCCTCCAGCCCCGGCTCCTGCTTGGCTCTAACCCCCGTAGAAGGAAGGGTTGATCTACCTTATAGGCCACTTTGGAAGGACATCTCTTGCCGAGGCCTAGCGGTGGGGACATAAGAGTCAGCATTTCATACATCTCAGTGTAATGGATTCGGCCACTGCTCATGGAAGGGGGGAAAGGGGAGGGAGGGGGATGCAGAGAGAGAGAGGAGGCATTCCCAGAGAGCAGAAAAAAAAACCAAAACGTACAAACAAAAAAAAATAGTACAGGAAAACAGGAGAGAAAAACAAAAACAAAACAAAAAAACAAACGGACAAACAGGAAAAGAACAGGAAACCCGTTAATCAAGGCAAATCATACATGAGAGACTGTCCTGATGTGGATTTATAGCACTGCTCACACAGACCCAGGA